GATTTTCTGGGATTAAAAAAAAATGTTCTTATCTACACTTCTTACAGGTAAATTTTGCGAGTAATATACACCGACACTCGTACATATGTAACTGGAATTTTTTTATAAAAACAAGAGATTTAAATTTATTATTTTGTTTGTACTTATGACGTACTCGTATGTATATTTATCGTTAAAGAAGTATAATCAGAGAGTTGCCATAGGATTGGATATTGTGCGCAACAGGCATAAGACCTGGGGTGTTGCTGTTGTAGCAGCTAGAACAACCCCGCCCGGATGGGTTAGCCCCTCCATCATTGTTGTCAATCTCTACTAGCGGAAGACCCAGGAAACCCTCGATGGGGTCTATCCATAAGGACAGAGGCGTTAGCAGGGTAGGGTTCAGTGGGGATGCGAAGAGATGCTTCGAGTCAAGGGGCATCTCTCCGCATGTCGGGCATTCATTTGGCACATCTGCATTTATTCTGCTCAGGTATGAGTTCAACCTGCTGCAGTAGCCAGAGCGAAGTTGCGCTATTGTGGTCAGAGTCTCCCGAGGCAGACGAAGCTCTGCCTCGTCCATGTCTGGTGGTTGTGTGCCCAGACCGGCATTCACAGGTCGAGAGTCTATATAACTCGAGACTGACTCTCTGTGAATGCCGTTCAAGGCCTGACGATAAGCTGTTGGACGGGCGCTGCTTAGTTCAGAACCGGCCGGCCAGTTGCCTTGTACGTTGCCAACAATGTTTCTTCGTCTTTGCCCCAGGTGCTGCCCGCTAACGGCTTGAGGACCTTGTTGCGGCTTTGTACTTTATTGACGATTGCGGTTACTCCGAGGATCTTCGGGTTATTCACCGTTGGACTGGGTTTGTCATCGACGTGAATACACAGTTGTAGCCTCACCTCCTTCGTCCAAGTGGTGAAAAGCGCTGCTGAGGACTTCGTAGGGGAGAGGATTAGGCTCCGTGCAGTGAAGAAGGGAGAAATCTCGGCGATATAAAGGTTTGCTTTCGAGCACAAGTCATCAAATCCATTCCCAGACGCCATTATCCAGCAATTGTCAGCATAAGAGACAATCCAGACTGGTTGAGGGAGCTTAGAAATATAAGTTAGCACCCAACAATAATTCCAGAGCAGTTAGCACCCAGCAATAATTCCAAAAACAACAATCATAACCAAAGCTTACCATAACAACAGCACTAGATAAGCCAGACGCTGAATCAGCAAGTGAACACCCAGCTGAAGTCGTTCTCACAGCAATGTGAAACTCGACTCTAAGAATTGCATGAATGAAAGGCGAGCATACCAGTAAATGGCAAATGCCAAGTCAACATTTTCACGGGCAGCAGTGCTGGCGATTAGGGAAGTAGGGGCAGGCATTTAGGTGCAGTCACCGACAAATTGTAATCAGTCGTAGTAACTCATCAAACCGATTTGGTTGCCTTGACTTGTGTCAAGAAAATAAAAAGTAAAACAAGTAAAAATGCGTTTACGTTACTTATACAAGTTAAACAGTAGTGGGGAAAGGACTACCTAGTTATCCCCTTGAAAGCTATTAACGAAGTTGACAATAGAGAAACTCTTGTTATCTCAGAGAATGACTCTGACCTATACAAAAGTCTATTAAAGTCTTACCAGCGTAGACTGCAGTGAAATTATTCTTACTTTTCCCGTAGACTTAAATCCGCAGTTTGTATAGTCTAGATATAATATTTATCTTCTCGAAATTATTTTATTTGAATAAATTTGCATTTTCAACACAGATTGTTTCCACTATTAATAGGAAATACCAGTTTTGCCCTTAATCCAGTCCAAGTAGCTGGTTACACGTACGAATCCGGCTGGAGCACCAGAGGCGCAACCTTTAGACGATACGAATGAAGTAACACCGACCAGCACATTACCCGATTCTAGGGCTAACGGACCGCCAGAGTCGCCCTGACAGGTAGAAACGCCGCCAGGAGTAGCTACACAAATCGTATTACCAGTCACAACCTTGGAGCCATAGGTTGAAGAGCAGACCGAATTAGCTATAACGGGGAGGCGGGCATAATTTAAATAACTTGAAGTAGAGGATGCTGAAAGAAATTAAAAGTTAGTATAACACAGAACATACCTATGGATGTAGAAATGAAATTTAGAATTTTTAAAATTTACAACTTACAATCACTGGTGCGACCCCAACCCGAAGCAATGGCGTAGCTGCCAACATAATTTGAGTATGAGGAAGAGATCGAAGGCAATTTAATAGCTGAAATTTCGCTGGTATAGGAAACAGCTGGAATCTTGATTAGCGAAATATCATTGGCGAGAGTATTTTCATTATATCCAGTGTGTTGGTGTATAGAGCTCGAGGTTACGGTGTACGAGACCTTGGCAGAAGTGCGCACAGTACCGCCCAGGTAAACTTTGACCCTAGTAACGCTGCACAATTGAACGTATGTATGTAAATGTGTTTCATTAATTTGTAAATATTAATTTGCGCAATCGCTTTTCTAAGTACTTACCCGTTAGTGCAGTGAGCCGCAGTTAAGACCCATGTGGAACCAATCAGAGAACCACCGCACCAGTAGGTTCCTGTGCTACGGGTTAGTGACAAACCCGTCTGGTAGGGGAATTGGCCTGCTGATGCGCGAATACCATTAGTTATGCGTCCCGATAAGACTGGAGATGGTGGCAAATCCTCAATAAAAGCCGGTTGATCGGTAACGGTGTAGGCCGAAGCGATAGCCAAGGCTAGAACTAAAGTGATGAGCACCTTCAACATGTTTGTTTGCTCTTTTGCTGCAGTGTCTTGTGCGAACAACTGTTACTAACTTTTGGGCGGTGGTCATATTTATAGGTAAAACTGAAGTTAAAAGGTGCGCGATAAATCAAATTTATAGTTATAAAATCAAAGATTAGTGGTGCGAATGCGATCGACTCGAAAGGGTTTGTAAATTCCATTTATCAGCAACTGGGAATTCACGGACTCAAGGGTTCTTAATATGTCCGTATATCTTTAACGATTATTTATTATGGACAATAGTATACTACTAATGTAAAGTGATTTTAATATACTACTAGTACTACATGCGCTTTGAATTGATTTTTATTAGCATGCAATATAGCATATGACGATTAGTTTCGCGTTTGGGTAGACTGCGACAAAACTGTTGGTCTAAAAGTACTTATCAGTTGGGTTTATCAAGCAACACTAGACACTTCATAGCCAATGGCGAAACCCAACTGCCGGGAATTTTGACAAATATTGCACATGTGCTTATGGTTTGATTAATTTGTTTTTTTTTTTTTGTTTTGATAAGGTATTAGAATTTCGGTATTCAAAGTCCTTTCGTGTCAAAAGCAACCGTTCTCAGCAAAACTAGTTAAGATGAAAATTATTATTTTTTTTATACGCCCCAATATCGATGGCTGAGTGGAAGATCGACCTATCTCGGCAGCCAGTTCGAAAACGCTCTATCTAAAAAAACTTTTCATGAACGCCCTATTTCAGAATTTAATTGAAAAACACCCTATCTCAAAATTCGGTTCAAAAACGCCCTATCTCACTTCAGAATGTATTGAAAATATGCTGATATAGGGCGTTTTTGAATCGGCAGCTGAGATAGGGCGTTTTTGAAACGAATTCTGAAATAGGGCGTTCTTGAAAAGTTTTTTGAGATAGAGCGTTTTCGAACTGGCTGCCGAGATAGNCTGATGGCGCACAAAGAGCGTAGCGTAGGCTTCGGAGAATTTCCTTGTATGTTGCCAGCAGCATTTCTTTGTCTTTGCCTAAGGTGCTGGCGGGGAGCGACATCAGGACCTTGTTGCGGTTGTGTGCGCGGAAAAGGAGAGCAGGCTATCAAAGTTATATGTCACAATCATATGACTGTAACTGTAAGTATAGCCAGCGGACCAAATGCTAGCAAACGATACCAGTTGCGAGTGAAATGAGAGAATTATCCCAAAAAAAAACGTTCACTAAAGGCTCGTGTGTTGCTCCGCTGTATATGTACATAAGTATGTGCATTTGCGAATCAAAACCTTTATCTAAATTTGAGCTAGGCGATGAAATAACATGTGTAGTTAAGTGCATCTACGATTACGATTACTTTAATCCCAGTTTCAAAATAGTTTGAATTAGGATTGAAATAATCGTAAATCGAAGGAGTATTAGATTAAAATTATATTTAAAAAATTAGTAGCATATGACGTAACTTTTTTATCAACAAATATCAGATAAAAATAAAATTTTTTTTAACTTATGTATGTAAATTTTACTCTTTTCTCAGCTAGAATCACTAAACATAAGAATTTGTATGTAAGAAAAACACGCATTTTTTTAGATAATTTTTAATTCGGCAACCTTGAGTTTACTTATACATGTAAAAATGTTAAACTCCGCTCCCTTCTTGCTCACTCATTATATAGTGCCTTAGTATAGTATCACGCAATCATGGGTGATCAAAGCACTCGTGGTGTTACATGAAATACAACCTTTGAAATTTTACTAACTAATAATACCTTGTTTATACCGACACATAAAGCGCTTTGACCCAGTGTGATTAAAAGCGCTTGGAAGAAATATGTGTTAAGTCAAATTGGATTTTCTTAATGCGGTTATTGCGTAGGTATAAACAAGGTATAAATTATGTGATTTAAGATGAGAGGAAATGGTTTTTGTGTGTTTTGTGGATCAAATAAAAAACTTGTTGGACTGTTCTAGGGGACTCAGGTATAATACCTTGTCAATTCTATAATTACACACCTTTCATGTAAAATGTAAAAAAAAATATTGTAAATTACTTCTTGTTACAGATGGGAAAAATGTAGAAGAAATTGACGACCGGTTTGATCATTTCGTACAATTCTTGACTTCTCAATAAAAGTTTTGAGTTTTTCAAAAAGCTTTTCAGTTTAAGGGAAACCACTATATAGTTTTAAAATTATATCCTATGTTATTTGGGGATGAACAAAATATCATATAGGTGTTTCCATCGGAAGGTCTACCGCAACAAAAAAATAATAATAAAAGTCATATATCTAATGTATTTATGGGCCAATGTGTCTGCTTTCTGAAGTATACACCGGCTATGTAAGTAGAAACATTCTTGCATAAATGGTCTTGCTGGGTAGCGCCAGGGTCGAGATATTTTGAAAACGCTTATTTATGGTACGATTTGGTTCGAATTTGAGTACGTAAACGTTGTAACGTAGTAAAACGTTGAAACATAATAAATCATAGATTTCCAAAAAATTTATCCATAATTGGCGCTGAAGTCAAAATATAAAGTATATTCGACATAAAATGCTTGTTTTGTTTGCGTTAAAAATTAATTTAAAGGCAATCTTAACAAAAATATAATGATGGAAATTTATGTCACGTCACGCCACACATCACAATAATGTGATTTTTGATGCTGTATTTTATATTTTTTCAAAGATTTGTTTAAGAAACACTTGAATAGGTAACTGCTCCAAAACTTTACCGCCATAGACTTATGAGGTATCAGTGGAAATGTGTTTTCTCACCCTTTTTAGCTATTTGCAGAAAATACTCATTCACGTCCCAATTTTTGCTTTATCAAATACTAACACATCTTAATTCAACATGGAATGACACTCGCCTTACCTTCCTAACCTCCTTACCTTTTTAAAGATACCTCATAAGTCTTAATTGGTAAAGTTTTGGCTGAGTTATAAAAGTTTTTATTAAACTAGCCTTTAAAAAAGGTCAAAAACAGCATCAAAAATCTTATTACTTGATTTTTTTTTCTTAATATTTTTATGCAAATTTTTTAAGCTTAAACTGTTTTGTCATCTGAGGTGATTTTTTCAAAAACACTTTAAAAACTGTTTTTATTAATAAAAAAACTAAATGTTTGGAGGTATTTTGAAATCGGTCCAGCTCACGTAAATCTTAATATTTTTCCGAGATATTGAAAATCAATATTTTTTGACCGGAAAACTGTGGTTCTCTTCAGGATACTTCCAGTATTAATATCCAATTGTTTATTTAACGATATTTTATTATTAAAGATATTGGTCCCCCCCATTGCATTTTCTAAGGGCTATGGAGGACCTATAAAATATAGTTACCATGAAAAAATTGTTAAAAAAACAATTGAGTATTATTAGTGGGAATCTCCTTAAGATAAGTAAAGTTTTCCGATCAAAAAATATTGATTTTCAAGAATTCTACACTATTTTTACGAAAAGATGTTTTTTCTCCATATAAAATACATGGAAAACTTTGAGCGCTTTGAGCACTACCTAAATTATTTTTTATTTCAAAATAAAAAAATACGGGTCTATTTTTTTCGGTATATAACAATCCTAGGGGGTGGCGGCATTAAAAATCCGACCTTACTTTTTATACCTTTCATGAGTATGAAATGGTATTATAACTTTGGTCCGATGTTTGTAAGTACCAGAACAAAAAGAGATAGACTCATTAAAATGTATACTTTTATGATCAGAACGTCGAGCTGAGTTGATTTATCCATGTCCGTCTGTCCGTCTGTCCGTCTGTCTGTCTGTNTTTGTATGCAATCTAGTCTCTCAGTTTTCGAGATATCCGGATAAAATTTGGTAGGTGGGTGTTTTTTATAATGTATTAATCATTTGTCGGAACCGGAAGAACCGGGCCACTATAACATATAGCTCCCATACAACTGATTATTCAGATATGA